CTGCTGCTGCAGCACCTGCTGCTGCTGCTCACCTTCTTTGCGGCAGGAGCAGGGGCGAAGCCACCAGTGATTTGCGAGGAGTAAGCATCAGCTTGCCGCAACAGCTCAGCCAGTCGCTCACTGTAGTCTGCTTCCTGCTGCAGCAGCAGCAGCAACAGCAGCAGCAGCAGCAGCAGCAGCAGAGCAGATAGCACACGCTAGGCCAGCAGCAAGGGCAAAATCTAAGGTGCTGCTGCTGTAAAAGAGGCCGTCAAGCCAAACGCAGCCCCATCAGCAACAAAGCCAGACACAGAAACAGCAGCAGCAACGAAAGCAGCAGCAGCAGCAGAAACGGCAGCAGCAGCAGCAGAAACGGCAGCAGCAGCAGCTTACTTGCATGGGAAACCCGCCACTGTCACTCTCTTCTTCTGCGCGGAAGCAGCAGCAGCAGCAAAGACACAAGATTTGCCGCCACAGCAGCAGGCACACGCGAAAGAGCCTCAGCAGCAACAGACACAGCAGCAGCAGCAAAGACAGCAGCAAGAGCAGCAGCAGCAGCAGCAGCAACAGCAGCAGACGCACCCTCCTCGCTAGGGTCCTCCTCCTCCTCCGTCGCCTCGTCTCCTTCTGCTGCTGCGCTGCTCCCCTCGGCGTTTTCTGACGCGCTGTCTGCTGCTGCTGCTCCCCCCTCTAGTGCTGCTGCTGCTGCTGCTTCTGCAGCAGGTGCTGCTGCTGCGGCGGCCTCCCCAGCTGCTGCTGCTGCAGCAGCGGGCGCAGCTGCCGCAGCAGCGGGGGTAGCCGCCGCCGGCGGGCTGTCAACGTCCACCATATTTCAATCAGAAGAGGCTGCTCTTGCTGCCGCTGCTGCTGCTGCTCGTGCTGCAGTTGCGTCGCTCCTCCTGGCGATGCACTAGGTCTGGCGGCAGCAGCTGCTGCTGCTGCTGTTGCTGCTCTTCTCCGGACTAACTTAGAAACGCAGTGCGTTAAAAACTTTTAAAGAAGCACGTGGCTGAGCTGCGGCGGCCTCGTGCGCTGAGCTGCGACTGCTGCTGCTGCTCCCGCTGCTGCTGCTGCTGCCGTTCCCGTGGTGGGCGGGCAGGGGTGTCTGCTGCTGCTGCTGCTGCTGCTACGCGGTCGGTAAGTGGCTTAGCTGCTGTCTACTAAATATTTCAAAGACGGGGAGGCAGTAGGAAGGGCCTTAGAGCGGCTCAAAGAGACCCCCCGATGCATGCGGGTAACTGTTGCTGCTGCTGCGCAGCTGCTGCTGCTGCTGCTGCTGCTGCAGCCAAAGTGCTCAAATTGTGCAACTAATAACCAAGGAATCTCATTAAAGAGACCCTAAATCTCGTGGTGACGCTGCTGCTGGTGCTGCGGCCCCGCGCTGCGATGCAACGGCTGGGAGGGATCTGCTGCTGCTGCTGCTGCAGCAGCAGCTGCTGCTGCTGGCACGGAGGCCCTAGGCTTAGGGGCAGCAGCAGGTCTTCAACCGGATCCAAAACGTGTCTTCTTCAGATACATTTTGCTGTTACTGCTGGAGCAGCAACCTGGAGCAGCAGCAGCAGCAGCTGGCTCAAAGACAAAGTACAACAGCAGCAATCTGCAGCAGGAGCTGCAGCAGCTGCTGTTGCTGCTGAAGCCCCGGGGCCCGGGGCCCCCCGAAGCTACGCAGCCACTGCTTGACCTGCTACGCGCACAACGAGCTGGAGGCCCAGGAAGGCCCAAAACCCTTGTTGTTTACTGCTGCAGCAACAGCAGCAGCAGCAGCGGATACTGCTGCTAGTTTCGCAGCTGCTGCACATCCTCGCGAGCAGCAGGGCCCCGCGAGCAGCAGGGCCTTGCGTGGCGGCCTTCAGCGTCAGCAGCAAAGACGACAGCAGCAACAACAATAACTGCAGCAGTAACTGCAGCAGCAACAACAAGTACGTCAGCAGCAGCAGCAGCTACAAATGGCCTTCCGGGGTCTCGCCGTGCAGCAGCTGCTGCGCCGAGGCCTCCGGGGGTTTGCTGCTGATGCACCAACAGCAGCAGCAGCAGCAAGCCAAGGATGGCAGGTGTGGGTTCAGCACCGCAGCAACAGCAGCAGCAGCAGCAGCAGTAGCAGCAGCGCTTCTGGCGGGCTCCGAGGGGTCGAGGAGGAGCTGCTGCTGCAGCTGCAGCAGCAGAAAAGACTCACAGTGGAAGAGGTGCTGCAGAGCACACAGCGGCTGCTGCAGCGCCAGCACACATCCTTTGCCCACCCTAGCAGCAGCAGCAGCAACAGCAGCAGCAGCAGCAGCAGCATATTGCCCAATGAGTTTGTGGCCTTTTTATCAGCAGCAGCAGCAGCAGCAGCAGAGCAGCAGCAGCGTCACGTACTGCTCAGCGACAGCAGATTTCAGCAGCTGCTGCAGCAGCTACGCAGCAGATTGATTGGCTTTGATGCTCCCCAGCTCTTCAGGCTGCTGCTGTCTCTGGCCCGGCTGCAGGTACTGCTGCTGCTGCATCTGCTGCTGCTGCTGTATCTGCTGCCGCTGCTGCTGTATCTGCTGCTGCTGTTGTATGTCTGTTACTGCTGCAGCATCTGCTGCTGCTGCTGCAATTTCTACTTTGCTCCAAATTCCTCTCAGCCGCTGCTGCCTCCTTACCTGCTGCTGCCGCTGTTGCTGCTGCTGCTGCGCTTCTTGCTGCTGCAGCACTATCTGCTGCTGCTGCTGTATGCCGGTTGTTGCTGCAGCATCTGCTGCTGCAGCTGCAATTTCTACTTCGCTCCAACTTCCCCTCAGCCCCTGCTGCCTCCTTACCTGCTGCTGCTGCTGTTGCTGCTGCTGCTGCTGCTGCTGCGCTGTTTGCTGCTGCAGCACTGCCCCCCTGAGGTCTTGGAGCGGCTGCTGTACATCTTGGGGGGCCCCAAGGGGGGCCCCCCAAGGGGCTTAGCGGGGGCCCCCCTGCTGCCGCTGCAGCAGCTGAGTCCGAAGCAGCTGGCGCAGCTGCCGCTGCTGCTGGCCGCAGCCACAGGCAGCTGCGACCCCACACTCTCCCGCAGCTGCAGCGCGCAGCAGCAGCAGCAGCAGCAGCAGCAGCGCCATTTGCTGCTGCAGCCGCCGGGAAGTGAGCTGCAGGCGTTCCTTCAGGTGTACGTACAGCGCGTCTGCGAGTTGCTGCGGCTGCAGCAAGAAGCTCTGGGGCCATCTCCGGAGGCATCTGCAGCAGCAGCTGCAGCAAAGAGCGACGCAGCAGCAGCAGCAGCAGCAGCAGGTTATTTTGCTGCTGAAGACCTGTGTCTGCTACTGATAGGAATGTCTTCTTTAGGCTTCCGCCATCTGCTGCTAACTGATCTTGCTGCTGACGCCTTGCGGCTGCAGCTCCTGCTGCAGTTCGGGGGGCCCACAGCACCTGAGGAGCTGCAGCAGCAGCAGCAGCAGCAGCAGCAGCCCGAGGAGATGGTGCAGCAGCAGCTAATGTTGCTGCCCCTGCCATCTGTGCTGCTCAGCCTGGCCACTTTAGGCTCAACAAATGCAACGGCGATTACGGAGATCTCTTACCAGCTGCTGCGTACGCCTTGCTGCTGTTGCTGCTGCTGCTGTTGCTGCTGCTGCTCATGCTGCTGCTGCCCTTGCTGCTTCTGTCCTTGCTGCTGCTGTCCTTGCTGCTGCTGTTCTTGCTGCTGCTGCGGTTGCTGAGGCTCTTGTGGCTTTTGCTTCTGCTGCTGCTCCGGCCGCTGCTGCTGCCTGAGCTGCTGCTGCTGCTGTTGCTGCTGCTGCTGCAGGAGTGGCTCCGCTGCTGTCAGTCTCTCGGCTGACGGACTGTCTTTTGGCCCTCGCGACTCTCCAGACCAACCCGAGCGCAGTGCCCTCCCTTGCGCTCCTCAGTGTACGTACACCCGGCCCCTGCTGCTGCTGCTGCTGCTGCTGCTGCTGAGGGGCCCTGAAACACTCACTCCGCAGGCGCCGCAGCAGCAGCAGACGGTTCGGTCTGTTTGCCCGCAAAGCTGCAACTGCGTCTTGGTGCTGCTGTCCTTGCTGCCGCTGCTTGTGCTGCCATTCGCGCTGCTGCTGCTGCTGCTGCTGCTGCTGCAGGAAGTAGAGAAGCAGCTGACCAAAAGGGCATTTAGCTGCTCCTTGTCGGACGCAGTGACAGCAGCGTTTGCTGCAGTGGCGCTGCAGCTGCACAGGGGGTCGCAGCAGCTGCTGCTCGAGCTGCTGCAGCAGACGGAGCTGCTGCAGCAGCAAGATGATTTAGGCGCTGAGTAAGCGCGCTTCTTTGCCTCCATCAGCGTGCTGCTGCTGCACAACTTTGCTGCTGCCGCCACTGCACGTCTTTGCTGCTGCTGCTGTTGCTACGTGGGTATGCTGCTGCTGCTGCTACTTGTGTATGCTGCTGCTGGTACTGTTGCACCATGTGTGTGCTGCTTGTGCTGTGGCTACATGTGTGTGCTGCTGCTGCTGTTGCTGCTGCTGCTGCTGCAGAGATGCGTGGGGAGAGCTGCCGCTGCGGCAGCAGCAAATTGCTCTTGAACTGAGTTTAGACCCCAAGGCGAAGCCGCTTCGTGAGGTGAGTGCTTCAGGTGTACGTACACCCGGCAGCAGCAGCCGCAGGAGCAGCGGCAGCAACAGCAGCCGCTGATGCTGCAGCAGGTCGGCCGTGCTGCTGCGCTCCTTGTGCTGCAGCTACTGCAGCAGAAAGGCCTCGGCCACTTCGCTGCCTTTCCTGCTACTCTTCGCGGCGAGGCGGTGGAGACACAAAATGAGGGAAGGGAGAAAGTGCTGCTGCAAGAAGTGGGTTGCTGCTGCTGCTGCTGCTGTTGCTGCTGCTGCTATGGCTCCGGCTCGGTGCTGCTCGAAGAAGCCGCAGTGCAGGGCGGTCGGTGAGGGGGTCCTCGTCATGCTCTGCTGCCGCTGTTGCTGCTGCTGTTGCTGCTGCTGCTATTGTTGCTGCTACTGGTGCTGCTGCTAGTGTTGCTGCTGCCGTTCGCAGATTGAAGAGTTCCTGCAGCAAGAAGACGTCCGGCACCGCCTGCTGCTTAGTGTAGACGCGCTCCTGCAGCAGCAGCAGAAGCCACAGCAGAAGCAGCAGCCGCAGCCAGAGCAGCAGCACCAGCAGCAGCACCAGCAGCCAGAGCAGCAGCAGCAGCAGCAGCAGCAGGAAGACTTTGGGGAGGTGGAAGAAGCGAGCTTGAGGCGAGTTGCGCTGTCTGTACAGCTCAAGGACTTCCCCTGTCTGCGCACCTACCGCGTGGCATCTCTTTTCGTGTGGCCCTCAGCAGCGGCAGCAGCAGCAGCAGCAGAAGCAGCAGCAGCAGCAGCAGAAGTGCTGCAGCACGAGCAGCAAGGCGGAAGCAGCAGCAGCAACTCGCTTGCTGTTGTTGCAGACTTTTCGACCTTTGCGGAATTTGAGGGGCCTGCTGAGGTGTACGTACAGCTCAAGTACAGACACCTGCGCCGCGCGGGACATGCACTGGTCAGTACTTACTTATTTTGTTTTTATTTGTTTTTATTTTTATTTATTTTTGTTTTTAGTCTTGTTTATTTAATTTGATGCATGCAGCAGCAGCTTTAGACTGCTGCTTTCCACGCTTCTCCTCGTCAAGTAGCACTCTTTCGCTGCTGGTGCTGCTGGTGCTGCTGCGCGCCTCCTGCTGCTGTGCTGCTGCTGCTGCTGTGCTGCTGCTGCTGTGCCGCTGCTACTGCTGATCTGGTGATGCTGCTGCTGTGCCGCTGCTGCTGCTGCTGCTGCTGCAGATAGCAGTGCGCGCGGAGGAGTGGGCGGAAGCAAATGGAGAAGAAGAGCGTTTGGAGCTGCTGCTGAAGTCTCTGCAGCTGCCCGAACGCATCTGAGGTGTACGTACACCTCAGGTGT